GGCCCCTCCCCGCCCCCACCCCCCGTCGCCACAAGTGCACATGTGCCGGCTGCATTTGAGGGTGCAGCCGTTTGTGGGGCGGGCCGCCATGCATCTCGGGCCGCGCTCTCCTGCGCCCCCAACAGCGCCCCCATCGTCCCCTTCCTGGCAGGTGTGTGTCGCATTCGCGCGCGCAAGCAGACCCCCTCAGTCCCGCTACTGTCCCCCCCCCGTTCCGTTACACACACACACACACACACACGCGCACGCACACGCACGCATAGACACACACACACATATACAGACAGGCACGCGCATGCCGAAAACTTAGCGACAAGGAGGGGGGGGGGGAAAAGAAACAGTGTCAAGCAGGGGTAACTTCCGGACGGCCGACTGGAGGGGGCGGGACGGCGGGCGGGGAGGAATATATAACTGCGCCTTTTTTTTTCCGCTCCAAGCGCGCCTTACGCCCGCCACATCCCCCTGAAGGGCGATGGGTTAAGGGGGGTGTTTCGGTCGACCCGCCTGCATGCCCAACGCCCCTTTGCGCTGCAGGGGAGATACGCGCGCGCGCGCGCGCGCGTCCCGGCCCCGTGAACTAGCCCCCAGTGCGGGCCCGGCTCGGCCGCTCCCTCGGGAGAGGGGGGAGAATGTGCATCTCTGGGGGGGCTTGTGTCTTTTCGCTGCGCCGCCCAGCCGTGTAACTCACCGGCGCGCCCCTGTCTGCGCAGTACGTGCGCGGTCATTTCCCCCGACTGCCCCCCGCCAGGGCAAGGGGCCGCCTTGACGAGAGGCAGGCCCCGCCCCCCCCCCCGTCCCAGAGCCCGCCCCCGCAGAGCCGAATTGTGGCCGGGGGAGCACGGCTACTTGACAACTTCCCCCCCCCTCGGGTGCTCGACCTGGTCCACCGCCATTGGTGCGGAGTCTGCCGTTCCCGTGCAGGGGTGTCCTGTCCCTGCCAGTGGCCGGCAGGCCTGCCCGGCCAGAGGGGGGGGGGGACGGCCTAGTCGCCACCTCGGCCGGCTCGCCCCTCGCCCCCCCCCCCCAGCGGACGGACGCCCCTGCGCGCGCCACATGTGCCTGTGCCTCCGCCCCCCCATCGCCAGTACGACTGTTTCCCGGAGACTGCCCCCGCCCCCCAGTCCCGCCAGAAATCTCCCCTCTGTCCCGGACCCGCTCCCGGGGGCAGAGAGCGCATTTGCGCTCGCGGCCGAACGTGTTGCATGGGTCCTGGCGTGGGCCGGCAAGATGGCCCCTGCCCATCACGCCTGGGGCCCTTGAAAAGAGCCCCCCATTGGCCCATGTTGGCGGCGCCCCCTGATGTAACACACCTCCGCTCGCCATCTTGGGCACCATGCCTTTCCCCCCTCCTGTGTCACCCTCCCCCGCCCTCGCCCCGGCCGCATCCCCGGCTCGTAGCCTGCAGCCCTCCCCCCCCCCTTCACACCCCCGCCCCTCGCCCCCTCCCCCCCCCCTGCCTCTTCCCCTCGCGATCGCGCGCCCGAGAGAAGGACACCCAGACGCGTGCGCGCTTCGCCCGCCATCCGGTATCCACGCTCTCGCCTTCTGCCCTTTGCTGCCTCTCGCCACCGCACTCGCCTGACACCGTGTTCACCCACGGCCCCCTTCTTGTCCGCCCTCTTTTCACCCTCGCGCCTCACCCTGGGCCTGTGCGCGCCCGGGCGTAGCCCTTGGTCAGCGAGCTCGAGCCGAGCTACCCCCAACAAGCCCGTGCTCGATGGTTCTGTAGCCGACCGCTGAAGGCCCTCACTTCTCGGCCTCTTGTGGTTTCCCCCCATCTGCTCAGCAAGCATCACCCACTGCATCGGCCCTCTCCACCCCTCCCGCCCCTCCCACTGTTCAGCTCTCCGCCATGTGCGTGCACCGCCTCCCCCCCCCCTCGCTCGAGTGCCCGCCAGCCGCACTCCCACCCACTCCCCCTTGCCCCGCCTCTGCTCTCCCGTCTGACCCGGTTGCCGGGGCCCTTCCCTCCTCTTGCCACGCCGACATCCCCCCCCCCGCTGTGCACAGCATGCACCTTGGTGCCTCGGTGGCTATGACCTCGGCCCCGGACGAGGCGCCCGGAGCGGCCCTCGCCGAGCAGCCGGACATATGCCCCGCGCCCACCCAGTCGTCGGTCGCCAGCTGTGACCGGCCCCCGGGTGGCAGCACCGCTGCCACCACCATTGCTGCTGCTGCCGCCGCCGCCGCCGCCACCGCCGCCCCCCCGGCCGGCGGCCGTGTCCCGGTCGCTGTTTTGTCCCCTCTTCACAGTACATCCACATCGCCGGCCACCAGCCGCGCGTCCACCCCGACCCCGCTGCAGATCGCCACCGCCCCATCCAGCCTGTCGGCCCTTTTATCAAGCGCCTCCTTTGCCAGCCCTCTCGCTTCGCCGATGCCGACGGACTCCCGTGGCCCCGGCCCCCAGGGTCCTGCCTCCTCCTCCTCCTCCTCCTCCTCCTCCTCCTCCTCCTCCGCCGCCGCCTCCGAAGCCCCGGCCCGCGTGAGCCAACTTTCCCAGCCACCCTTCGTCCCGACTCCTGGCGGTACGTCCACGCATGCATACACACATGTATATTCCCCGCTTCCCTGTCCTTCTGCGCGGTTGCCCTGTCTCGCCGGCTGACGCCCATCCTCCCCTTTTGGACCTCTCCGATCCTCCTCAGCGCCCGGCTCCACCACCAACCCGCCCCCAGCCAGCCCGGTCCTCATGCCGCAGTCGCCCTCGACCTTCGGCGTGACCCGATCGCGGAATGCCACCGCCGAATTCGAGGACGTGTGCTCTTCCGATCTTGGACCTCTCCGATCCTCCTCAGCGCCCGGCTCCACCACCAACCCGCCCCCAGCCAGCCCGGTCCTCATGCCGCAGTCGCCCTCGACCTTCGGCGTGACCCGATCGCGGAATGCCACCGCCGAATTCGAGGCCGGTGTCGCCTTGTCGCCGCCCTCCTCGTCTTTGCGCACGGATTTCAATGAGGACGGGCTGGAGGCCTTTCGTCGGCGTAATGCCGAAGGCTCGGCCGGGCGCGGCGCCTCTTCCGGCACCTCCCCCGCCGGCTCGATGGCTCCTCCAGCTAGCGGCAACGGCAGCGGCAGCACCAAGATCCCGTCGCAGCTCCAAACAGATCGGAAGAGCGTCGTGGATTTCAATGAGGACGGGCTGGAGGCCTTTCGTCGGCGTAATGCCGAAGGCTCGGCCGGGCGCGGCGCCTCTTCCGGCACCTCCCCCGCCGGCTCGATGGCTCCTCCAGCTAGCGGCAACGGCAGCGGCAGCACCAAGATCCCGTCGCAGCTCCAAACGCGGGGTTTCCAAGTGGCGGATGACCGCCAGCAACAGCCGCCCCCCTCGCCGACGTCATCTCGCTTGGCTCGGCCCAGCGGCGGGCATCTCCCCCCCGGGCCATTGCAGATTTCCGACACCCCCTCTCGGCATGTTGGCTCCCCTCCCTCCTCGCCGATGATGTCCCGGGCCTTCCTGGCATCGGGCACCACCTCGGGCCCGAGCTCCGGCTTGCAGGCTGCCGTCAGCAGCCAGGCCGGCTCCTCCGGCTCGGCGCCCAACTCCGCTGGGTCCCTGGAGTCTGGCACCACACCGCGCACTTCCTCCGCCTCCGCCTCCGCCTCTGCCCCCTCCTCCTCTTCCTCCTCTTCGAGTGGGGTTCGATTCAAGCCCTTCGGCTACAGTGAGACCCGGGTTGTCTACTTCGACGCCAATGCCCCGGTGGCGGTGCGCGACACCCCGCCCCCGGGATCGGTGGCCCCCCTGCGCATGGAGAAGCCGGCCCCGGCCGCCTCCTCCGGCTGGACCATCAACAACTTCCTGTCTCCTCTGCTTTCGTCGTCGTCGTCCTCCTCGGCGGCGGCGGCGGCAGCGGCGGCGGCGGCCACCACTGCTACGGCTCCCGACGACGCGGCCCCGGCCGCGCCCGAGGTCAAGGGCATCCTACGCGTCAGGCGCCGGCGTGTGGTGGACGCGCGCGCTGTGGCCGCCACCGCGCGCCGCCAAGCCGAGCGTGCCGCACGCACCGCCGAGAAGGAGGCCCGCCTGGCCGAGCAGGAGGCCGAGTTCGAGCGGCGTGCCGCCGCCGAGCGCGACCGCGCCAAGCAGGCCCGCCGGGCGCACCGCGCCCAGCGCGAGCTCATGGACGATGAGCCCGACACCCCGGGCGTCCTGCCGACGGTGGTCGTGCCTCCGGCGATTGCCGCCTCGCCCATGGTCCCCGGCACGGGGGCGGTTCCCACGCCGGCCGGGCCTCCCTTGGCTTCGATCGACATTGCCAGCCGGCTGAGCTCCAGCCTGACGGATACCTCGGTGCCGGCCTTGGCGGCGGCTGCGGTGGCGGCGGCCGCCGTGGCCGCCACAGCCCTGGACCCGGTGGTCATGGTGGCCACCACGGCCGCCGGCCCGGCGGTCCTCGACATTTCCCCCTCCGGCTCGGATGTGTCGCTGGCGCCCTGTGGATCGGACCTGGTCGGAGCCCCGTCGCATTCTTCGCTGCTCGGCATCATCGACTCGGCCGGGGGCATGTTGGCCGAGTCGGCCACCATTTCCACGGTTCTGCCCCCGGTCACGGTGCCCGGGCGCCAATCCGGGCCGGGGCTCCGCGCTTCCGGCGGTGGAACCCTTTCGGCCTTCGATTTTGGTCGCTTCGCCGGCGAGTCCGAGGCCGAGGATGATCTCCTGCAGCAGAGCGGCGACGACCAGGCCGCCGATGCTGCCGGCGATGCCAGCCCCACAGTCGGTGCCTCTGGCTCGGGTGCCTCGGGGCCCGGGGCCCCCGGGCCCGGCAATGCCGGGACCCTTTCCGGGTCCAGTGCGCCGGGCGAAATGGCCACCGGTCGTGATCGCGCCACCGGGGCCACCTTCAGCAGCACTGGCGGCTTGCTGGTGGCGCCGGCTGTGCCGTATCCCCTGGTGACCGAGCTTCCCGGCGTGCCAGCCGCCCTGGCCGGCCTGGTTACGCCTCCGGCCGGGGCCACTCCCCTGCTGACGTCGGCGCCCTTCCATCAACGCCCGGCGGTCCGGGCCGTCCGTGCGGATGGCCGGATCCTGTCGGCCGGGCACCAGTTCGCCACCGCCACGCCAGACAGCTCGGCTGCCTCCTCGCCCGCCCTCATTTCGTCGGCCACCATGCCGCCGGTCGGCGGGGGGGGGGGGACCTCCCTGGCCGGTGGCCACCCCGGCGGCTCCTCCGGGCCGAAGCCAGCCGAGCTGACCCCCTGCAATGCCTCTGGCACCGACGAGGTGCCGGAGTACGACCATGCCGGCGGCGCGTCCGATGACGATGCCGATGACGATGATCTGGATGATTCGGAGGATGAGGGCAGCGATTCCGGCGGCAGTGACCTCGAGGCACGGCCCACTCGGGCCGGCGAGCGCCTGGGCCCCCGCAAGACGTCCTCCATTCGCCCGGCCAAGACCTTCCGCCAGCGGGGGGCTTCCCCTCCGGGGGAGCCGCGCAAGCGGCCCGACGGCCTGCCGGCCAGCGACTCGGGCGCCTCCGATGATGAAGGGTACAGCGCGGGGGATGACGATGATGATGACCTTCCCCCTCATGGGCACTCGCAGGACAGGGACGATGCCACCGGCTGCTCGCCGCTGCGTGTCCAGCGTTCCGGCGGGCCTCCGGCCCGTCGTGGGCGCTCGCCCTCCCCGGCGCCGCGCTTTGTCTCCGGGGCCGGTGTCAGCACCGACCGCCGGGGGCCGGGGGCCTCCTCGCCGGTGGCCGTCGCCCCGGCAGCCCCCGCCTCCGAGGTGGCCGTCTGCCCGAACCTGGCCAAGACCGTCCTCGCGCGCGCCATGCGCCCGGTCGCGGTGCCCACCGACTCCGACTATGTGGACGATGTGGACGATGTGGATGACGATGACGATGACGATGATGATGATGGCGACCAGCACCTGCACGCGGCCCATGGGGCTGTCAGGCCATCTCGCTCGCCCTCCGAGCACACCGCCACCCCCATCCCCACGGCCGGCGGGCCAGACGCCAATGATGAGGCGGCCGGCCCTGCTGCCGGCTCGGCATCCGGCCCTGCCCCGGCCCACGAGCAGTCGGACAATGACACTGACCAAATTTCCGACGATGAGCAGGACACCCTGAGCAATGAGGTGTGCCGGCCCAAGAGCCCGGCCCGGCCGGGGAGCAATGGCGCCACCTCGGCCGGCGTGTCTTCGGGCTCCCCCTGCCGGGGCAGTGCCGACACGGGGGACATCCCGGCGGCGGTCACCCGCGTGGCGGAGGCCGCATTCGAGCCGACATCGACCCCGGGCGGCTCGCAGCAGACCCTGCCCACCAGTGCGGTTCTTGCCATGCCCGAGTCCTCTCTCCTGCCCCTGGTCGGCTCGAATGCGGCCTCGGCTGCCACTCCGTCGGCGGCCCCGGCGGAGGCCAATCCACTGGCCCCGGGTGCCGGGCCCGAGGGGTCCCAGGAGCTGGTGCCGCCGCAGCCGCAGCCACCGCAGTCGCAGCCGCAGCCGCAGCCGCAGCCCTCCGGATCTTCCTCTCGCCGTCGCCGTGTGCGGTTCCCCGCCTCGCCGCCGATTGTCGATGGCGGCCCGCTGCATCGCGTGCGCCTGGCCGCGTCGGCTGCCCGGCAGGAGCTCAATCGCGCGGAGGCCTCGCTGCTGGCCTGTGCCGAGGCGTATGCCTCTCGGTCGGTGGCCGGTGAAACCGAGGCTGCGGCCGAGGCCGAGGCGGCCCTGGCCGCTGGTCTCGATCCCAGCCTCTTCCTCACCGACCCGGAGGAGGTAGCCGAGCAGGATCTCGAGCATATGGCAGATGAGCCGGAGTCGGCGTCGGCCGCGGCCGAGGCTGCGGCAGCCGCCGCGGCCGATGCCACCTCCCCGGCCATTTCCCTCACCGAGGCCACACAACAAGCGGCCGATGGTGCCGGTGCCGCTGGGTCGGAGGCTGGCGGCGTGGGCGTCCCCCCGGCCGGGGTGGTGGCCGGTCCGCCTGATGGCCAATCCGCCAGCCTCCCTGGTGTCTCTGGTGGCATTGCGGCCGGCGCCGCGAGCCAGCCGATTGGCATTCCCACAACCGGCGGGTCTGGCTCCGGGGGGTCTGGCAGCCTGCCGGATGACCCGATTGCCGAGGCCCTGGCCGCCGGAGCGGTTGACGCCGAGGCCATTGAGCAGCGCCGTCGTCTTGCTCTGGCCACCCTGGCGCCGGCCGGGTCCGAGGACACCGGCCCGCCGCCGGCTCTGTCGCAATCGCCGCCGGCCAGCACCTCCGGCCTGGAGCTCCTGGCTCCGGTGACCGTGGTCAGCCATCATCCGACGGTGGTATCGGCGGCTTCGGCCATCGGGGCCACCGATGGTGCTACCATCGGTCCCGGCAGTGGCCCGGGGGGGACGGCCGTCGCTTCGGCCGGGTCCGGTGCCCTGGGCACCTCCTCGCCCCCGGCGTTTGGCACCGACTCGCCGGCCGAGGACAGCGACTCCAGCATGTCCGACATGTCGGCCGCCGCTTCGCGCTCCCTTCCCCAGCGCATTCTCTTCCAGAAGCAGCATCAGCAGCAGCTCCTCCTGCACTACCAGCACCAGAAGCAGGCGCAGCAGGCGGCCTACGAGCAGTACCAGCAGCAGCACAAGCAGCAGCTCCTGCAGCAGCAGCAGCAGAAGCAGAAGTCCGGCTCGTCGCAGCCGGGCCAGCAGCCCAACCAGCCTGGCAATGCTTCCACCTCGCCGGTGGCCCATCCGCTGGTGCAGCTGTATCAGGTCCTGCAGCAGCAGCGCCACCTGCTGAAGCTCCAGTCCTACCACCTGCAGCAGGTGAAGGTTCTGACTCGGCAGCGCCAGAACATCGAGGCGCTCCTGCTGGCCGACAGCCAGGCCGCCGACGCCGCCGCCGCCGCCGCCGAGGATCCCACCGCCGCGAATGTGTCCGTCGCTCGGTCGACCTCCACTCTGACCATCGGCGATTTGCTGGACGAGTCGAGCCCAGAGCGCCTGCGCCTGCAGCGCCTGCGCGACTATCGTCACCAGATTGCGATGATCGCCGATCGGGCGCTGCAGCACCGGCGCCACTTGCGGCAGCTTGACCGCCAGCATGCGGCCGTCCTGGGCTCCGGCCAGGCGGCCGCCGCGGCTGCTGCCATCGCCCTGTCCGTGGCCGAGGCTACGGCCGTTGCGGCGCATGGCTGGCCGGACTCCGAGCACGAGCGCCAGCTTCTCAAGTCACAGACGCCGGTTGCCAGCGCTCCGGCCGCCACCACTGCCGCCCCGGCCTCCGGTGCGTCTGCTGCCCTGGACTCGAGCACCGGCACATCGGCCAAGGCCCCCGCCCCCGGGGCCGCCGCGGAGGCCTCCTCCTCGGCGGCCGGCAACTCGACCATGGTTGTTCCCGCCAGCCCGCCCCTTCAGCCGGGCTCCAAGTCTGCCCGGCCCGAGTCGGCAGGGTCCTCGGCCACGGCAGGGTCCCCTCCGTCGTCGCTGGATTCGGCCGCCGCCTCGGCCGCCGCCAGCGGCGGAACACACACCGCCATGACATCCAGCAGTCAGCCCATGGTCCAGTCTCCGTCGGCCGTCGGGGCGGCCAGTTCGTCGGCCGCCACGCCGGCCGCCACCAGCAGCTCGGCGTCTGGCGTGTCAGCTACCTCGTCGGGTGCTCCCCTCTCGTCGGCCACAACGGCAGCCGCCCATGCGTCTTCCTCTGCTTCGACCTCCACTTCGTCCTCCTCCTCGTCGTCCACTTCCTCCGCGGAGCTGCTCCAGTTTTACGTGCAACTTTGTGCCCGCTATGCTGTCGAGCCGAGTGAGCCCATCCTTCAGCAGATCAAGGTTCGTCCCCCCCCCCCCCCCCCCTGCCCTCCTCCCTCTCCTGTCTTCTTCCTATGCCCCTCGGGACCGGTACTCATGCATGCTGCTTGGCTGTTACCCAGGCCGCCGCCGATGCCGGGCGTCGCCTCCGCACCCTGGACCTTTCTCTGCCGAACACGCCCCCGCTGCTGGGCCGCCGGAGTGCCGACATCATCGCCTACCTGACGCAGCATAACCCGGCCCTTCGTGCGCTGGTGGTAGGCGCGCCGAATGTGGATGATGATGCCATGGTCGCGCTGCTGGATGCGCTGCTCTTCCACAATGCGGTGGCTCGCTTCCGCGTGGTTGGCGGTGACAGCCTCCCGCCGGATTGCCTGTCCCTGCCGCATGGGCCAGGCGGCCCGGGGTCCGCGCGCATTGGCCCGGACAGTCTTCGCCGCATCGGCGTCTTCCTCAAGCGCAATGAGAGTCTCTCGGCTCTGGAGGTGTCGCTGCTGTCTGGCCCGCCTCATGGGACCATCTCGGCCCTTGAGTCTCAGGTGGCCCTCCTCGACCCGGATCGCAGCTACTTGACACGTTCCTTGGCCCTGGGCGCGATGTCGGAAACCGCCGGGGCCGATGCCCCGGACTCCCGGCCGGCCGGCATTTTGCGCGGCTTCGCGGCCTTCTCCTCCGGCTCGAGCGGCGGCAGCGGCAGCGGCAGTGGCGGCCCCTCTCTTCGGTCGCTGTCGACCCTGCCCCCGACCAATCCCTATGTGCAGCAGCCACTGGATCCGCGCATTGGCGAGCTTCTCGGCCAGGGGGTTCGTCTGCTGACGGTGGCCCGGCTTGCCGGCTGTGGGCTCTACGGAGGCGCATTGATGGCCTTCGTCCGGGCCCTGGTGTTCGGCAGCTCGGACTCGCCGTATGTCGACTGCCATCCGAATGCCTTCCTCCTGAGTGCGGCCTACCTGCAGCAGGAGGGCGCCGACGCGCTGGAGTCCACCACCATCACCACCGCCGCCGAGCGATCGGAGCCCGGGTCTGGTGGCGGCTCTTCGATCAGTCGGTCGAGCTCGCCCAATCCCGCCACTCGGCGCTCGGGGACCGGCGGCGGCGACCCCTCCGCTGGCCGCCCCTTCGGCGCGGCATATCCTCCCCCCTCGAGCCCGGTGACACAGCCGCCGGTGCGCGAGCGCGAAAGCAGCTCCCGCTCGACCTTGAGCAGTGCGGTCGGGCTGATTTTCGGCGGCGGGTCCCGCAGCCGGAGCTCCTCGTCCAGTCGTAGCGGCAGCAGTGCTCCCTCTCCGTCGCCGACTTCCTCGCTGCCCGGTGGCAGCAGCGGATCCAGCGGCGGCGGCCAGGGTGGCACGAGCGGCGATTCCGAAACGCGCGAGGGGCGTCGCTCCCTGTCGCGCCTGCGCAGTGCTTCCCTTTCGTCGGCGAGCGCGCCCTCCTCGACGGCGGCCGGGTCGTCGGCCAGCTCGACCGGGCCCGGGTCCCCTTCGGCCGCTGCCGCCGCTGCCAGCTTGACCTCCTCATCGTCCATGAACTCCCTGTCAAGCCTGTCCTCCTCTTCGCCGATGTCCCTGGCCGCGCCCTTGTCGGCCAATGTGCATGCTCCCTTGCCGAAGTCCATCGAGGATTATCCGCCGGCCGCTTCGCTGCAGTTCCTCTCGCTGGCCTACAGCGCCGGGCGGTATGCCGGAGCCACGGCCGCCGCCGGGCCCGAGGCCCTGGATGGCCGAGCCCTTGCGGCCCTCTTCTCTCTGCCTTCCCTGCGGGTGTTGGACCTCGCTGGCAACCGCCTTGGGGATCTGGGCGCCTCGCAGCTGGCCTCGGCCCTGTTGGAGGGGATCCCCGCGGGCCTGGGGGTTGCTCTGTCGGCGGTTTCCTCGCCGGTGGACCTGCCCTCGGGTGGATCGGGCCCGGCTGATGTGGCCGGCATGGCCGGTGCGGGCTCCGCGGCGCCCGGCGGGGCCTCCTCCTCCTCCTCCGGTGGGAGCATGATGCCGCTCCTGGCCGGCGACGAGGCCGAGGGTGATATGGCCCCCGGGGCCTCTGCCACCGTGGTGAGCACCTGCGCCGTCCGGCGCTTGTCGCTGGCGGATTGCGGCATGAGCTCCTCCGGCGTGGCCCTGGTCCTGGCGGCTCTTCGCCGGCGTGGCGCCCGCCTGGATGCCCTGGACCTGAGTGGCAACCAGTTGGCCGGCACCATCGGCTGGCAAATGATCAAGGATGGCGTGGTGGCCCAGTCGACCTTGCGGTCGTTGGCCCTGGCCCGGACACGCATCCGGACCGAGGGTGTCATCGCCATCTCGGAGGCGGTGGCCGAGCTGCCGCGTCTCCGGCATCTGGATCTGTCGGCCAATGGGCCTCTTCCACTGGCCGGGCTGATGGCCCTGCGCATGGCGGCCAAGCATGGCGGTGGCCTGCGGTCGATTTGCCTCGACCGTCGGCCTGTACCGCCCCCGGCCGGGGCCGATGCCACGGCTGATGCCGCCCCGGCCGCGGCCGAGGCCGAAGATGACGCCGATGCCGGTGGCTGGGAGATCGAAGACTCGATTGACCAAATTCTCCGGACGCACGTGCGCTATCGCCGGTCCGGCCAGTCGCCTGGATCGTCGGCCTCGGCGCCGCCCGCCTCGCCGCCTTCAGCTCCATTGCCCTCCTCGGCGATTTCCCGGGCGTCCTCCGGGACGGCCGCCGATGAGGGGGCCTCGCCGGGTCTGCCTCCCTCTCCCGAGGACCTGGCGGAGTCTCTCCCCCCGGCGACGGCCACCGTCCCTGATTCCGGTCCCCAGCCGTCTCCCGCTGTGGATGGGCCACCGACGACGGTGCCATCGGCCATCGAGCCGGAGCAGCAGCAGCAGCAAGAGGTCCCCGAAGAGGCCCAGGTGGTGGTGACGCCGCCTGCCCCGGCCGCAGTGACTACCCGGCCGCCCGCGGCTGCGGGTGATCTGGAGCCGGCCATCCTGGCTGCCCTCGACTCGGTCCTCGGCTCCGTCCTGTCGGAGGCGGCCACTCCGCACAGCGCCGGCACCGGGAACTAGCCGCCATCGTGCTGCTCCTTCTCTGTGTTCTCTCCCCCCTTGTTTTTTTTTTTCCTCCCGCCTTTGGTTTTGTTTGTTTTTGTGGCGCCCCTCCCCCCCCCCCCCCCCCGTTAGTTCTGTTGGCAAACCCCATAGACTACCAACAATATACTTTTACGTCCCCTTTCCCCCGATCTCTTTACCTCTTCAGCCGCACTTGTGCCCCCTATTTGGGTGCACACATTTGGAAGCACCACCATGTACACACACACACACACAAACAAACAAACAGGGAATCAGGATTTAACTTTTTTATCTTGTGCGATCGGGGAGGGGGAAGGAGGAGATAGGGGGAAAGACAGGGCAGGAGAAGGAACGGAGCACGACAGCAATCGCGAGACGGCATCCCCCCAAGAGGAAAAGGGGGCATATGTATATCTGTATATGGTGGTGTTGGGAGTGAGCCCGACGGGACAATGAGAGGGGAGAGGAGGAGGAGGACGAACAGAGGGAAGTATCTGGACGTTGCACGCGTCGTGTGCGGCTTCTCCGTGCGAATATCCCCCCAGTCCGGTGGTCTTCCTCAAAACCTCTCTCTCCCTCGCTCTTGACCTTTGTCTCGGTGTGTGTGTGTGTGCGCGAGCACGCGCGCGCGCGCGCGTGCTCGCTCTCTTGGAGTGTCTCACATGCTTACTGGAGCATGCGCTTGTGCTGCCAGTAGTAGGAGATCACGGTGCCGGTCTCCTCGCAAATATCGTTCTCAGGGATGAGCTGGCTCATGTCGGTGATGTTGTCGAAATGGACCGCCTGGAAGGGAGTACTGTGTGTGTGTGCGGCAGACACCATCGTGCGTGGCAATCAGCCAGAAAAGGAGGGGGGAGGGGGCAGGGGCGGATCATCAAGTTAGAACAGATGGCTAGGGGGGGGGGCGGGGGGGCACCGAAGCCGAGACAAGACAAAGAGTGTCCCCCCATGGAAGGAGGGGCACCCCGAGGGGTTGCTTTCTCCTCGGCCGCCTCTTTTCCTTTTTTTTTTTTCGCCGGCCCTGGTGCTCCCCCCCCGCCCCCGCAGGAAGTCGAGACAGAGAGACAGAAAACGCACCCATCAGCCTCACGCTGGCGACGCAGGGCACGCTGGTGCTCCTCGATGGTGTTCTTCTCGGCAAGGGCCGTGGAGTAGTCCTGCACACGCAGGGCGGCGGTCACCGGGGCCCAGATCTTCTGGGACTCCAGCTCACCCTGCTCCTCCAGGGGCGGGACCGTGGGGTTGGTGTTGACCAGAGTGTCGACGTCAAGCAGGAGGTTCTGCGTCTTGGAGCCGGCCTCGTTCCACATGACGCGGCCGACCCACTTGCCGGAAATGTGGAAGAGGGCGTTGTCGACATTGTGGGAGCTGGACGGCGAGACAAAGCCGTTGATCATGTGGTACGAGCCGTGGAACCACGGCTTGCTGTGGGCATGGGGGACGCGGGCGCGCGCGGGGGGGGGGGGCACGGAGCATGGTGAGTGGGGTGTTGAGGGAGGAATGCAGCGACCGGGGGTGAGAGACAACGGGGCCGAAGGGCAAGGGAGGCGGGCTTGCCACGCACGGCAGGTAGTTAATGGTGGCCGAGTAGCCAGACTTGGAGGTGATGGTGGCCATGCCACTGAGCTCGGCGAACAGCTGGCCAGTGAAGAGACCGCGCAGGTCGGCCTCGGGGTAGGTGAGCCGGTACTCGTCATCGTGGTCCTGCAGACGCAGAACAACGTGGCCGTAAATGCGAACCTGTGTGCGAGGAGGGGGGCAGCGGCAATGGTGGCAGTTCCGAGGGACACGGCAGAAAGGTGGCCAGGTGTGGACAAGGACCAGGGGGAGGCACAAGGAGGGGGAGTGGGCGCTGTCAGGGCACGCGAGGAGAGTATGTGTGGGGCCAGGGGCAGCACAGGAGAGAGAGAGAGAGAGGGAGGGAGGGAGGGAGGGGGGACAGAAAAGGAGGCGGAGATGCAAGCCTCACGCACGCGAACACTGGTGCCACGGAAGCGGGCGCCCGAGAAGATGGAGCCGTTCACACAGAGGCGCTGCTCCGGGCACTCGAGGTAGAAAGCACTGACCGGGGGGTGGTGGGAAACCTGCTCGGCCTCCAGGTGGACCTCGGACTCGACGGGGCCGCCCTTGGGCCAGGTGCAGTGGAACTGCTCGCCGAGGACCGGGTTGTAGGGCTTCTTGACGGAGCTACCACCGGCGAAGGGGGCGCCGTAAGACTGGTAGACGTTGGTAATCCACCAGGCAACAACGGCGCGCATGCGGGCTGGTGGCGTCGGGAGTCCGACAGGGAGGAGGCCAATATGGCCGGGGGGTCGGTCAGTTGCTGCGTCGAGGCTGTGATCAAAAGCCAGGCAAGAAAGAGGGCGCGGGAGCGGGAGAGAGGGAGGAAGAAGGGGAGAGAAAGAGAGAATAATGAGGGGCACACGTACCGACAGGGTCAGACTCCTTGTTGATGTTGAACAGGAGCTCCGGGACCATCATGTAACTGGTGGTGTGCTCCAGAACGGAGATGCCCTCCAGCAGGAAGGCCGGGCACGAGAGAGTGCTGAGATCGGCCGTGGTGGAGGCGATCTACTCGTGCGTGGGCGCAGCGAAGCAACGAGGGCAGCCATGGACACACCACATGTGCATCGTGTGTGTGTGTGTGAGAGAGAGAGGAAAAGAGAGAGAGAGAGACAGCGAGGGAAGGTCAGGGGCCGAGGAGGAGGAAGGAGCTCGGCGGGAGGCGAGGCGTGAGCAAGATGGCAGGACAGAGGGCGGGGCCTTGTCCGGGTGCCTGTCGCCGTGAGTGAGCCAGCGGGTGTGGGGGCATGTGTGTGTGCGCACGGTCTTCAGGAAGGTGGTGAAGGAACCCTTCTGGGAGGTGGGGACGACATTATCCTCGGACATGGTTGCGACGGCGGAGAGGAGGGAGAGAGGAGTGCACACTCGCGGGCAAAGCGCAGGCGGGGCAGGAAAACGGAAATAGGCTGCGCGAGGAGGGGAGCCGAGCAGGGTCGGGAGGTGTGCGCGGTTGGTTGTTGGGAGAGGGGGCGGGGGGAGGGGAGGAGGGTTGGTCGGGGCGGACACGGGCGGGGGTGGACGGGCGAGCGGCAGCAAGGACAAGGGATCGAGGACAGAGGGCGGGAGCGAAGGAGAAGGGGGGGGGGAGGGGCATACGTTTTTCCGGGTGACGGTCGGCCGCGAGCCAGGGGCCTCGGCGGTGGCTGAAAACCCGGGTGGGGGCCGCGCGCGCGCGCGTGCGCGCGCCTCGAGAAGCCCGTCTTCGGGTGAGGCTGGAAGCCAGGCCTCTGCCAGGGCGGCTGCTGGAGCCCAGTCCGGACGCGGAGGCGGAGGGGCGGGGCGCCGGGCGCAGGATCTGGTCCGGGGGAGTGCCCCGGGCCGGAAAACAGCGGCGAAAGAGGGCGAGGACAAACGCACGCGCGGCCGGACTTGGGGCTAGACACAGGGGGAGGCGGGCCTCTGCCCACCAGACCGTGGGTGGGGGATGGGATTGTCTGGGACTGGCCCCCTATGCTGGCCCCAACCCCGGGCCGGTTTGGTGCGCGTCCGACCGCCTGTTCGGCCGCGGCAGGCGGGAAAGAGGGGGCGCTCACGCCTGTGCGCACGCGCGCACGCGCGCGTGCACGCATACGTGAGGGCGGCCTCAATCTTCGGCCCCCGCCCCTCCCCCAGGGGACAGGGACCCGCACATGGGGCTTTCACGCCCGGGGGCGATCTTTAACCGCGCGCCCCGAGGCCGTGTGGCGTCTCCCGAGGCGCGCTGTTGTGCCTCGGAGGGGCCCCTCCACGCCCCCCCCCCGGCCCCCCGGCCCCCGGCCGATAAAAAAAAAACCCGGGGCGAGTGTAATCTACCTCACGGTGTGCCTGGACGCCGGGGAACGCGGGGGCGACGCCTTCGGGTAGTTCCCCGCGCCCCCTCTCGTGTGTGTGTGTGTGTGTGTATGTGTGTGTGTGTGTGTGTGTGTGCCCGGCCCGGGCGTTCCCCACCAACCAGACCATGGTCATGCCGCGTTACATCCCCGCCCCTTCGGCCCTCTCCGCAGGCATATACAATGCGCGTACAGACACGCGTGCGTGCGCTCGCGCACTCCCGGCCCTCCGCTTGGGTGGGCAGAGTGCGGCATGTTAAGTGGGCATCATGCGAGTCTCTGGCACTGAGGCTCCCCCGCCCAGCTCGGTTCAGATTCCGGGCCCCCGCCCAGCCCCTCCCCCCGGCCCGGGCCTGCAGCACGCCCCAATATATGTGCTGGTGGCACACGGCAGGAAAGCCCCGGGCCCGGCCCGCTGGGTCCGGCGAGACTGGCAGCATGGCTCTCCGCCCGCAGACTCGTCCCCCCCGACACACACACACACACACACACACACACCATGGGGCGGTCGGTGCCCAACACACAACAGAGTGAACCATCCCCCCCCCCCCCCGCACCCACCCCCGGGCATGTCCCTTCATCTGACAGGATGCCCACGCTGGACGAGCGCCAGGGTGCCGCTGTCCCCACACGGCATAGCACCCGCCTATCCTCCATCGAGAGGGTACCTTGCGTGCACACCTCTCGCCACCTGCGGGGGTCAGGACGGTCGAGGCGGCAGGGCCAGCGGGGTGAGGGGCGGCGACGGCGGGGGGGGCGGGGGGGGGGGGGGGGATCGTCAGCCGGATGGTGCCCATGCTCCAGGAAAATACACACACGCGCAGACGCACGGGAGCCTCCTTTTCCCGTCCGTTCGGAGGCCAAGCCGGCCTACGCTCGGCCCCGGTGCGTTCCTCCCGACCTAGGGGCTAGCTCGACGGGCACCGGGAGCACCGAGGGCGGGGACCGGGAGGGGCGAGGGGGGGGGAGGGGGGGGCCAAAGGCATTCACCAGCGAATGCGCCCCAGAAAATCCAGCCACCCTTCAGGTAAGCAGAGCACGGCAAGCCTGGTCAGAGACACCCTTGGCCGAATGTGGGTGGTTCTCAGAAAGGCACAACAGCCCTGCCATGCGCCTGAGCCCAAGCATTTCGATATGCCCAAATCGCCGCGGCGTTTGGAGCGCCTTTGCGATGGCTGGTCACCCACGGCGGGCGGCCCGCGCGTACGCACACACATACACACCCACACACACGCACATGGCCCAAGATGTGCAAGCGTACGGGAGGGTAGTTAAAGAAGGGGCGAGCGGCGCGAGGGGAGGCCGCGAAACGAGGCGGATGCCCGAGCGTGAGAAGATCGGGTGAGAAACGCACACACACACACACACACACACACACACACACGAAGACGCGCATGCGCCCCTGGCCACCACACGCGTCCGGGCTCGCCCGCGGACCGGAAGCCATGGCACCCCGGCGTCGGCACAGAGGCCCGGAGCCGCGACAATCGTTCGGACATCGGACCTCGAGCTCGGGCAGACTGTCATCAGGGGCACCTCACCCCCCCCCCCCCCCCCGGGCCCCGCCGTGCCTCGAGGGCTTCCGGCAGGGGGGCCTTTCTCGGCTCCAGCTTATTTCTGTCGGCCTGTCCCCTCCAAGGGGGGGAAAAACAAATACCCCCTATGATGCCAACGGGCGAAGGTTGCCGCGGGTGTGTCACTGAACATGGCGCGCGCCCTCTCACCGGCGCCCCCCCCCCCCCCCCCCCCCCGCTAGGCGGTGTGGGGGACAGGAAAACCATGCCTCTCCTCTCGGGGGCTCCCAGCCTCGGCGCCCGGCTCCTCCAAGGAAAGGGCCCGACGCGCGGAAGACGGCGTGCCTGTGTCCGCTCGCCAGGGAAAAGCCTTGGTGGGTGCCAACCTTCTTGGCGAGCACCCCTCCCCCTCCCCCAGGGGTTTCCGCCCGGAGGGGCGCGGGCTTCCCCTATTACTAGAGCCTACTGTGTGCGCTGCACGAGACACCAGCAGGGCAGACTGGCGACATCCACGCCGCCGCCCCACGGCAGGACTCTCTCTCTTTCTCTCTGGTCTTCCGGTCCCCGCGCCAGCTCCCGCCCCCCCCCCCCCCCGCCCTGCGAATGTTGACGATTGCGGGGTTTCACATGGCCGTGCTCGCGGTGGCCGGAACTTTTGGTCCAGTTGTGGCAAGCCAGCAGCCGGCATCAGGCAAGACAGCAGCAGTTAATGAGCGCGCGGGGCCCGGTGGCTCCCCCCGCCCTCGCCCCTTCCTCCCGCTGCCGGCCCCCGCCCGCCGCAGCAAGTCCAAGTAAGGACCGGCAGCCAACGAGCGTAGGCCTGGGTGAATCCTCTCGTGCGCAAGCAGCCCCGGGGGGTCGAGCGCGCCGGCAGCCCTCTCGGCCCCCGGCAGGGGGCGCGCCCTGGGCAAGAGGCTCCCCCACTCGCTGCCCCCGCGCCCTTCTCCGCACCACGGCCAGACCCTGCCAAGCTCTGGCCCCTTTGCCCGCACTTCGCGGCAGGCTAACTGCCAGCCCACAGAGACTGGCGCGAACCCCCCCCCCCCCCCCCCCCCCCCCCCCCCCCCCCCCGGCCGCCCCCCCCCCCCCCCCCCCCCCCCCCCCCCCCCCCCCCCCCCCCCCCCCCCGCCCCCCTCTCCCGCACGCGGTCGAGCCTCGCCCCCCCCCCGGAGCCGGCCTCCCGACACATGCCCTGCACGCAAGGGCCCGAACATGGGCATCCTCGATGGGCGGGGACCCCTCTCGGCAGAGGAGCAGCCCCCCCGGTGGATGAGGGGTGCTGGGCAGGCTTAAGGGTAGGGGCGAAAGACAGATAGCCGGGTGCTATGCCGCCCCCCTCCCCGCGTGCCGAACACCGATACCCTCCGCCGCCCCCCGCCCCCCGACACAGCCGCCCCCTCTATGGCACCAACACGCCCGGAGATCTAGGGGACGCGGCAGGCCGGACCTCATATGGAGAATGACATTCCACTCCCGGCCACTCCGATGAATGCCCAGTTACAATATGGGGCACTCCACCGGACCACCGCCCCTCGCCCCCGCCGGATGAGCCGGCACCCCGGAGCGGGCACACCATCGAGGGCACCGGCCGCGCACCGGCCCGCCCGTCTCTCTCGCTGATGTATTCCCACGGCCTCTGGCTACCCGGGGCCAGACCCCTCTGCCCCTATCGGGGGCCGTGCGGGGCACACGCCAGAGTCGCCTCTTCCTCCGGCTAGGCCCCCCCCCCCTCCCCGCCGTCCCGCCACGGGATGCCTGCACACTCTCGCAAGAAAATACACCCAGCAGGGGATGTCGTGCGAGGCGAAAATGAGCAAAAGCACATATCATCCTTCTGAATGGAAACATCCCCCCCCCCCCCCGGAACAACAACAACACCAACAACTTTGCCACGCACAAAGCCACGCCCAGGCAATCCCGGGTCACAGCTCCTGGCAGGGCACCGAGGACTCCCCGCCCCGAAGGTGGGTTCACCCGGAGGCGTGATATCCCCGGGATCACGCCCTCCTTGGGCGCATCGGCGGCATGTGCCCATGAATGCGTCTGCCCACGAATCCCGGCCATCATGGCCCTCGAGAGGGGATCTCCCCCGAGGAAATCCCCCTCGGGCTGTTAGCCCCCCGCCCAGCGTCCTCGGTCGGCCACAGCCCCCCCCTGTTCATCCCCCCCCCCCCCCCCCCATCGGGGACCACCCCCTCCCCGCCGACACAGCGCACCCTCCAGGAGGTCCTCCCCTCCTTCGTCGAGCAGGAGTAAGAGCCCCCTCAGGGCCTACCTCGCCTTCGCCCCGACCGCCCGGCAGGTTGTGTGCCCCCCGTTCCCCCCCCCCCCCCCCCTCCCCAACCGCACCCCCGCACCCCCGATCGGCCCATGCGTGTTTACGGCGCGCATGCCCACCAATCCACACCGGGAAAGCCCGGCACAAGGCTCGAGGAGGGAAGGGGGTGAGAAAAAGAAAAAAAAGAAAAGAAAAAGAAGGTTCCATCTCCGGCTCTCCACCAGGTGTCTCCTGCATGCTCTCTCCATCTCTCCCCCTACCCCCACCCCCACCCCCACCTCCCTCGTTCTCGCGCACAGACACACTCCCCTCTTTTCTTTCTTCTTTCCTTTCTCCCCTCCGCGCATCCCTCAACAACAGCCGCCAACACCACCCGTGGGCACCAGCAGCAGCCGCCGCCGCCGCCGCCGTCGCCATGTCTGATGATCAGCGCTTTTCCAAGGCCGCGACCGATCTCCGGTTTCGCAAGGCCCCTCGCAAGGTGACCAAGATTCAGGTTGATTCCCGCTTCAAGGGCATGTTCGAGGACGACCGCTTCGCCACCATCGGTACGTCATCTGCATGGCGGATGTCCCCGCTCGGCGCTCCGCCCAGATTGCCCCACTGTTCCCTCCTTCCCTCACACACACACACACGCACACATCCCCCTCTCCCGGTTCTTCCTCCGCACAGCCTCGGTCGATCGCTATGGACGCCCCGTGGCGGAGTCCAAGAAGAAGCGCGCCGTCAGCGACCTCCATCGGTTCTACGAGCTGGACAAGGAGGCATCCGACGCCAACTCCAGCGACCAGGCCTCCGACAGTGAGGCCGAGGCGGAGGAGGACGAGCAGGCCGGCAATAAGCAGGCTGATGCCGCCTCATCCGATGAGGACACCCCTGCCCCGAGTCGGCCCAAGGTGTCCGGCTATGATCTGGCCCGTGGTCTGGTCACGGTGGAGTCCTCCGATGAGGAGGACGCCGGCGAGGCAGACGACTCCGATGCTGAGGGTACCGATGCCGACGCTGATGAGGAGGAGCTCGACGCCGCTGTGGTTTTGGTGCGTCCCCTCCTTGGGGTCCTTCGGCCGCTGGCCGCACCTTCCGCCCTCCTCCCCCTCCCCCCCCCCCAATCCCCCTTCATGCACCCACCCCACTCCCCCCCCCCCCCCCCCCCCCCCCCCCCCCCCCCCCCCCCCCCCCCCCCCCCCCCCCCCCCCCCCCCCCCCAGCCCACTCCCTCCCCCCCCCGTCCCTCCCCCTCTCCCCCCCGCTCTGCGTCCGTCCCTCCCCCCCCCATCTCACTCCCTCCTCCCCCTCCTCCCCCCCCCCCCCCCCCCCCCCCCCCCCCCCCCCCCCCCCCCCCCCCCCCCGTGAAGTATGGCTGACTCCTCTCCACGCACATGCGCCCGTAGGATCGTGTCGATGTCCCGATTGGTGATGCCACTCGGCGCTTTGCCTGCGTCAACATGGACTGGGACAAGATCAAGGTACTTGGCCCACTTCGGCTCCCCCTTCGCGCATGCAAGGGTTTGTTTTGTTGTGTTTGCTTCTTTTTTTTTTTGCCTCCCCCCCCCCTTGGCCACTGACGGCGTCCTTCGCAGGCCGTCCATCTCCTGAAGCTCTTCCAGTCGTTCGTGCCAACCGGCGGGTCGATCATCTCGGTGACCATCTTCCCCTCGGAGTTCGGCAAAGAGCGTCTGGCCTATGAGGCCCAGTACGGCCCGCCGCGCGAGCTCTTCACCAGTCCGAACATCGATGAGAAGGAGCTCCGTGAGGCCGAGGAGCTCGGCCTGACCCAGGAAGATCTGGAGCATGAGCGCATGCTGGAAACCCTGGCCCAGCGGAAGCACCACCTGCACGCGCGCGACCTGGACACCGGCGAGGAGGGCCAGGTGGCCGATCCGCGCCTGATCAAGTACCAGCTGGAGCGCCTGCGCTACTACTACGCCGTGGTCGAGTGCGACAGCGTGCGCACCGCCATGGAGGTCTTCGCCGGGTGCAATGACATCGAGTTCGAGGACTCCGGCAACCTGGTGGACCTGCGCTACATCCCGGATGACATGGACTTCGAGGATGAGCCCCAGTGCGTTTTCCCCCTCCCTCCTCCCCGCCCCGGCCGCCTGCCCCGGCCTCGGGCCCTTTCCTTTCCTCCTGCATGCGGCGCCTGTCTCCTGCCACCTCCCCGGCCCCTGGACTGACGCCCACTCTGTGGCCCTTCTCCCTGCAGCGACTTTGCCGACTCTCTGCCCAGCAACTACATGCCGACCACCTTCCACACCAATGCTCTGAGCCACTCGACGGTCCGCCTCACCTGGGATGAGGATGACCACTCCAAGAAGGCTGTCCTGCGTCGCCGGCTGGATGAGGTGCGTGCGCCAGGCGCCTGTCGTGTGAGGGGCCGGGAAAGGGGAAAAAAAAAAAAAGAACGAAGCGGGCGGACGCAGGGCCGGGCCCGGGGCCCCATCGCATGCATCCGCATGTTGCACCCCGCCCCGACACAAGAGACAGCCCGCTGACACAAACACCCCCTGCCCGTGGCATTTCCACAGAAGGACCTCGATGACATCGACATCTCGGCATATCTGGCGTCCGATTCGGACGACAGCAGTGATGACGAGCAGCCTGGCGAGAAGGCCCCCTCGCGGTCGATTGACATGGCCGACGACGAGAATGACGAGATCATTGACAAGAGCCAGCGCAAGAAGTATTCCTCCCTGCTGAAGGAGATCTCTCTGGAGGTGCGCGCCTTTCTTCTTTTTTTTTTCTTTTCCCTCCCTGCCCTTGCCCTTTCCCTCCCCGAAGTTTGTCCCACCTCCTCATGCGTGCCACTGACCTTGGTCGCCGTGTCCCCTGCTGCACCTTCTGCTGCTTTCTTTTTCGCTTGCCCCCTTCCCCTCCCCTCCCCCCCCCCCCCCCCTCCACACACACACCACCCTTGCACTGCGCACCCGCACCATCAAAGAACAATCCCGACCAGGAGATGGAGATCACGTTTAACACCGAACTTGATGACAAGGTTGATCGCCTTGTCAAGGAGCGTAAGAAGAAGAATGTACGCCACACACTCCCGTGCACAAGCGCGCTCGGCGCGATATCTTTGTCCGCTGGCCCACTTACCCTTTTCTCCCTTCCCCCCCCCCCCCCCCTCCGCCTCGAATCACAGCAAAATGCCGACAAAACCGTGTGGGAGGCCTACCTCGACCGGCGCAAGGAGAAGCGCAAGGAGCGTCGCAAGCTTCTTCGCCAGGGTGCCAGCGCCGGGTCCGACTCGGAGGATGCCGGGTCCGATGCCGAGGACCCCGAGGCCGCTGCCGAGGCCGCCCTCCAGCTCCAGCTTAAGCTCAAGCAGAAGAAGAAGAAGAGTGCCTTCGGGTCTCTGGGCGGTGGCTTCTTCGATGATGCCGCTGCTGCTGGTGATGACAAGCAGACCGAGGCCGCGGCCGACATGGCCAAGCAAGCCGACCCCTTCCTGGCGGTGCAGGAGCCCACCGCCGGGTCCTCGCGCGCGGAGCAGCGCCGTGCCAAGCAGGAGGCCAAGCAGCGCGAGGCCGACGAGCTGGCTCTCATGATGGTCGGCGACGGGACCATCAGCAAGCAGAAGCACTTCGACTTGCGGGAGATCCACCGCGCTGAGCGCCTGGCCGGGCGCAAGAAGCTCAGCTCCAAGGACCGGGCCCGGGTGGAGGAGGTCCAGTCGGCCGAGGCCGGCGAGGACGCCTTCAAGTTCAACCCCAAGGATGATCGCTTCACGTCCATGTTCGACTCGCACAAGTTCGCCATCGATCCCTCCTCGCCGCACTTCAAGCGCACCTCGGCCATGGATGCCCTTATTGCCGAGCGCCAGAGTCGCATTCGCAAGCGCGAGGCCCAGGAGGACCAGGCCCGTGCCGCCAGCAAGGGCGCCGCCGCTGCCGCCGCCGCCACCTCTGCCTCCTCCTCCTCCTCCACCTCGACCGGCACCTCGGACAGCCTGTCCCAGGACACCGTGGACATCTCCAGCATGGTGGAACGCCTGAAGCGCAAGGCCGGCTCCGGCAAGGGCCCGGCCGGCAAGCGGTCCCGCCTCTGAGAGGCCGAGCAAAGGGGCGGCGAAATCTCCGCTCGTCTCTCCTCCCCTCTCTCCTCCCCCGTGCCCCCTCTTCCTGTGCTCCCTACTCTTGCTCTCCCCTGCTCTGTGCCTCTCTCATTGTCCAGGAAGACGCACTGGAAGAGCCCCTCCCCTATCTCTGTCCCTCTGTGGCATGGGGGGATGCTTCCCAGAAAAACCAATATCACATAGACCACACACACGCACACATGCACACACACGCACACACGCACACACGCACACACGCACACACACGCACACACGCGCAGGCAGCAAGAGATGAGTGCGCGCGTAGACCAAAAAAAAAGGGAATCCGGCGCTGTGGCTCACACGAAAGGAGGGTGTTTGTGTGTTTCTGTGGCTCTCGCCACTTTCTATGTATTTGCGCAGCAATGCGCCCACCGCGGGATGGACTGCACACCACTAGACAACGGCATGGAGGACACCGCCGCTGGGCATCGGCCGCAACCGGACAGGAGCCAGGGAGGACCACCACCGGAGAAGCGGACGCGGCTGCAAGCCGCACAAGAAAGCGGGCCCCGGATGACGGGACGAGAAGGCAAGTTGGGCCGGGCCATCGGAACTGGTGGCTGCACCGCCAGGACCGCCACCAGCTGCATTGCCTAGAAGGCGCCGCAACCGGCGATGGCGAAGCCGACGGACGTCCAGTCGGGGAAACGGCAGGACGCACGGCGAACCAGGACCGAGATCGGGATCGACAGGTCGGCCAGCGTGGGCGTCTGTGTCGGAGGAGGGGGCATTGCGAAGGCGGGAACCGGCGGGGGGGGCCAAGTGGAGACACCTGGAGGTGGGGGTGGTGGCAGCAGCAGCAGCAGCAGCAGCAGCAGCAGCAGCAGCGGTGAGTGCGCCCCGGAGTAGGGTGGCAACAACAGAGGCCAGGAGACACCCGGCCTCCGCGGACGAGGCAAGCCAGTTACCACCACCGGCCGCCGCCACAGCCGCACCAGCGCCACCGTCATGATCGTCACCGGCGCTGAGCCCGGAGGTCGACCGCTTACCGACGACGGCGGCCGACCTGAGCGGAGAAACCGGTCTTGATGGTGGCCACCGACCGGCGGGAGTTACAGGCATCACACTGGATGAACTGCAGGCGGTTGTCCTTGGACAGCTGGGTGTCGCGGGACTTGCAGATCTTGCAGGTGACGTACTCCATGATGTAGTGACGGAGGACGCTCTCGATCTGCTTGGGGGAGAACCGACCACGGATGATGAGGCGACCAGCGCCATCCACCGAGCCGGAAGTACCGAGCTCGGCAAGCAGGAAGTTGGTGACGTGCTCGTTGGTGCGGCGCATGCGGCGGCAGATCTCGATCAGGTTGGCGAAGATGGTCTTCTTGGCGCCATCGCGGTTGACCTGCGGCGGGATCATGGTGTAGCGCTTGCGGTCGCCACCGTGCTCGGGGTTGGCCTCGCGGATCAGGCGGAAGGCGCGCTGCAGCAGGTCCCCATAAGCGTAGGGGGTGTCGTTGCCCTGGTAGACGGCCATCGGGTCGCCGCTGGTATCAACATCGGCATCCATCTGGAAGTCGTCCGAGTCGCCGGCCTGGTTGAACATGTCGTCGCCACCGGCCTCGTCGTCGAAGTCGAAGTTGAACTTGCTGGAGCGGGAGGACTTCTTCGGCGCGTCGGACTCCATGAGGGCCTGCTCGAAGGTCTCGAGGCTCTTCTTGCTGCTGCGCTTCTTCTTCTTGACCTGCGTGTGCGGTGGGACAATCCAATTGCGATGGAGGGGGGGGGGCAGGGCGGGGAGTTAGACATGGCAGCCGTAGGAGGGCAAATGAACCACCGGAGGCGACGGAAGGGAGGGGGAGGGGGGCACAAACCTCAAGACCGCCAAGGTCATCATCGCCACCCTCGGTGGCCTCGGCGGGGGTGTCCTCGTCGTCGAAAGCAATGACCTTTAGTGAGGGGAAAGGAGGAGATGTTAAAAACCAGGACCTTCGAGCGTGGGAGGAGAGGAAGAGGCCACGAGTAGCGGGGGAGGGGGGGGGGAAGAACATACCTTCTTCTTCTTGCTCTTCTTCTTCAGGCCGTCGAAGGGGTCCTCCTCGGCGGCGGCGTCGGTGGTGGGGGCATCGGGGGAAGCGCCCTCCTCGTCGGCGGCATCGAAGTCAAAGTCGACCTTCTTGGAAGACTTCTTCTTCTTCTTGATGATGCCGAGCGAGGCGAAGTCGTCAATCTGGATGAGCGGCCCGGGCGTACAGGGGGCGAGAGAAGGGGAGAGAAGGGAAGAGAAGGGGAGAGAAGGGGAGAGAAGGGGAGAGAAGGGGAGAGAAGAGGAGAGAAGAGGAGAGAAGAGGAGAGAAGAGGAGAGAGGGAGAGAGGAGGAGAGAGGGAGAGAAGGGGAGAGAGGGGACGGAAAGGGGGACAGAGAGGGGAAGCAAAAGGCTCGGTTAGCAAAGGCACACATAGGAAAGTAGGAGGAGAGGACAGGTTGGAGGGTCAAGTACAATCTCGTTCTCCATGGTGAATTAGGAGGGGGGGGGGGGACCAACTGGGTACGGGGAAACGAACGCAGACTGGATTGTTGGGAGGACGCATCCTCCGCGAGGGGAGGGTCCCTCTGTGTAGGCACCTCTTCAGACATGCTCGTGTACGTGCGTGCGGTCCTCCGGGGGGGGGGGGGGGGGGGGGGGAAGAACACCGCGTGCCAAGGGCGAGAAGTCCAGAAGAGCACAGTGGACAGCCCTAACGGGGGCACCAGGGGGTGGCCAGTGCGGCGGCACTAGTGAAGACGACCCCCAGCCCCAGGAAGGGAAGCATGCCTCCCCTCCGACCGTGTAGCCCGGGCGCCTTCCCCCGCGCGGACGCGCACAGGAATCGACACACGCCAGGCCAGGCACCTCTCTCCAGCTCCTCCACACACGCCCCCCCCCCCTCGCGCACCGCGCACCCACCAGAAAAGGGACTAGGGTTGGGACATGGCTCTGGATGGTAGAATGTTATTTATAGTGTACATGGCACGTGAGTGCCGATTGATCAGCGGATGGCCAGGTAGATGATGAGGCCGATGATGGCGATCAAAACAATGATGATCATTGTGGTGATGGCCTTGTTGGTCATCATGCTAAGGACACACACATAGACAAGAAGAGGGGGGAGAGGGAGGGGGGGAACAGACGGAGGAGAAGGAGAAAGGGGCAAGAAAGAGGGGAGGAGGGAAGAGGAGGGGAGGGAGTGTGAGCGGGAAACGTGAGTAGTAGGAGATGGGGAGGGAGGAAGAGAGAGGGAGGGAGAGCAGATGCGAAGGAATCAGGGAACGAACCGGCGGCGCATGCCGCGCAGGATGCCCGCGGCGCTGTCGATGCTCTCATCGGCCTGGTGAAGAGTAGTGTGGGCGTGGCTGATCTGGTCGCGCTGGCGATGGAGATCGGAAAGGATCGACTGACCGATTTGCTCTGCACGCATGGACACCCCCGCCAGAGGGAAGGGGAGGAGGAGGAGGAGGAGGAAGAAGGAGAGAGAGAAGATGGAATGGAGATGAGAAAGGGAGTAGAGCCGGTGGAAAAGGTAGGATGTGGCTTTGCGCACCGGACTCGTTGGCCACCTGCAGGGAGCGATCCAGGGAGTCGGTGGCGGCATCCAGGCGCTGGTTGGCCTCAAAAATGCGATCACGCTGGTTGGCCGAGTCATGGCTGGAGGAGGTGTAGGCGCCGGCAGTGACGGCCTCGCGATTGCTGTCGGCAATGACCTGGTGCTGTGATTGGCAAGCCGCGTGCGCGCGCGCGCGCGCGCGCGAGAGCCCACGCCCCAGCAGGAGACAAAAGGGGAAGATGAATGGGGTGAGAAGGAGGAGGGAGGGGCAAGAAGGCAGGGTCGGTATCTTGGATAAATGAAGCAAAGGTAGCCACTCGAGGCGGAGCAACATACCAGGCGCTTCTCCTGGCGGTTGAGGTCGTTCCAAAAAGCACGGACACGGTGCTGCAGGGAGTGACGATCCTTCTCCGGCATGTCACGGCACTCGAGGTCCATTTGCTCAAGCTGCGAGCGTATACACACAAAGGGAGGCCCGGAGGAAGGCAGGAACGGGATCAGTAAGCGGGTCCAACCGACAGGGGAGCCAGACAGCGAAGCGAAGGGGCAATGACGCACAATCTCCTTGGCCTCCTCCACCTCGCGCTTGGCGGCATTGATGAATTCCTTGCGCTTCTCTATGTATGTATGTGTGTGCGTGTGCATGTGTGCATGCGTGCGTGTGCATGTGTGCATGTGTGCATGCGTGCATGCGTGCATGTGCATGTGTGTGTGTGGTGTTGAAGACCAGCGCAAGGGGAGTGCAAAGGAAGAGCCGGAAACGCCAGGCATGTGTCAGTGGCCGAGAGGAACAGCCGAGGCAGGGGGGGGGGGGGGGGAGGCGAAAGGCCAGCATGCACGCACCGCCGGAGGAGTTGGGGATGTCCGAGCTGGTGCGGCGACGCAGGCTGTTGATCACATTGTGATACTCGGACTCGTAGGTGTTGAAAAGATCAGAGCCGCCGGACATGGTTGTGGCAAGTGAAGGAACGCGGGGGAACGGGGGGGGGGGGGGGAAGCAACAGGGGAGGGAGGAGAGTGCGGGGAAAATAGGAAGGGGGGCTGGGTGGGGCTGGGGAGAGGAGGGTTGACCGACCACCGGGCCGGACTCAATCGACGGGGGCCGCCGAAAAAAAGGTGCCCGGCACCTCGGCAATCCACCTGCCAAGGGGGGGGAATCTCGCGAATGGGCGGAAAGGCGATGGGAGGAGCGGAAAGCCTGGCGGGGACCGGCCGGGCCGGGTCGGGCCGAAGGGCCTACAGTCCGCATCACTTCGTGCGTGTATGATAAAGACACTTTGGACGGCAGGCACCCCGTCCCTTCCCCGGCCGGCCTCGGGTGGCTTCCCTCGAGGAGATGTGTCCGCCGAAAAGATAATAACAGCCACCCTATTTTGCCCTGTTCGGACGCGGCAGGTCGGGGTCCAGGGCGGACTATCTCTCTGACCGGACCCGACAGAACAGGGCGGCAGGCACCCCGGTCGCATTCGGGCAGGCTTTTCCCCCCACGCCCCCGAGACTCGGGATGGTGGACGATCATTCCCTTCCTGCATATCTGTCTCGAGGTGGCCGCGGGCCCGGGAGGTGTGCCTGGGGCCCCATGGGGGGGGGGGCCGGTGCCCCCACCGGCACCGCAAGTTAAAGGGCCCGACCACGAGTCGGTGCAACGGGGGGCGGGCAAGGGAGAAGAGAGGGAGAGAAGGGGGGCGGGGGGAAGAACACCGCGTGCCAAGGGCGAGAAG